TTCAAACACAGAAGAAGAAATGCTTCTGTCTCATTATGTGGAATTATCATTATTCTAATTCTATGTCAAAGACGACATTTTGCTAGTGTCTTCTTCATATATAGTAAAGTTACTTCAGTTAATAACAGTGTCAAGTTTACTCCAGGGACTTTTCAGAAATTATATTATAGAATCTAGAGATGTTGTAGACAGGACTGCAAATGATGGAAAAAAATAAATGGATGTATTTGACTTTATATCTACTTACCACAAGTCATCAACAGTAGTACACTTAATAACTATTATTTAATTTGTCTCTTGTTTGTAACTATGTACTTGTAAGTAAGTTGCAGAGGTGTCTATTAATGTTGTTATAACATTATTATAGCTAGGATATCAGTTTTCAGTTGAACTTAGAAACAAATGTTAAGGCATAGCTTTTCATATGCTGTTAAAAATATAATGTGGAAAGAAAGGAGAATAAATTAGCAGTTCCTTTAAAGCAACTTAAAAGATGAATTTACAACCTGTACACACACTCTGCTCTCTATATTACAACTTGTATCATATCCTGTTCATACTCTCCTTTGCATATTTGGTCATACCCAGTAGCAACTAAGCCAAGGTGCTTTTTTCCCTGTCATTATATGAAATATACCAATGTAGGACAGATAACAAATGAGACTCTAGAAAAATCAATAATACATTTTAAAAACTTAATTTTCTTTTATTACTGAAATCATGAGTTTTTGTTCCAATATAGCCAGCCCAAGGAAACTGGGCATAAAAAGAATTTTCTAGGATATTTTTATAGTTTTAAATCTACTCAAAAGTGTTGGAAAACTTTGGAAACGTTATAGTTCCAGATAATATGAGTATTCCACAATGAACACACAGGTATGATAATACCCACAAAAGATACTATAACAAAATCCAGACACCTAACTCATCAGGTTGGGAGAGAAAAATCAGAATCTTTGTATTTCCCCAACAAAGAGGAAAATAGCTATGCTGCTCACTATTTTTTCCCCTTTCTTTGCACATGCTTTAGAATACTGTGCTGCCCACAATGCAGTGGATTGGGTTGCTCAGTTGGGCAGTCTGGATGGTTGATAGGACAGGGGAGTCAGATTAATTCTCTCTCTTTGTCTAGGAGAGAAAGTTTTTCAACTATTTGGCTTCTGTATACCACTTGCACTTTGTGCTTTGCCTCTATGTTGATATAATTTTAACATGCCCTATTTATGTTATTTTAGTTTTCATGTAAATGAAGTTTTAGGATAACATTTTCTATCACTTTAGATTTCCTAGTGAGTCTTGGTTGTCTGGTTTTCTCATCACACTTGAGAAGCTTGGTTTGAACTAATGTTTAAGTGGGGATTCTGGTAACCTTATTAGCAGGTATCTAGTGAAGACATGTTGAAACGCAGAGGGACAATACATTTCCCACATCTGAAGAGAGGGATAAGACATTACCTGCTTTTGTCATGCAATATATTAGACAAAAGATGTGTACAAAATGGAAAGATTGAAATAAAAAAAGAGGAAAATAGCTGTTTTCTCTGATTTCTTCAATACAATCAGTTTAGCTGTAGAAGTAGGTATAAGATTCAGATGTAACTGGGATATAAATTGAGCACATACTTTTAACGGGTAATTCATATTCTACGAAGTGACTTTAGAGGATCAGCTTTGTGGAATTCCACAATTGTGTTGTCTCCAGATAGATAAGCAAACTCAACATAGCAATCACTTTTTTTAGTTATAAACACATGAACAAAGGTATATTTCTAAATACTAGTCCTGTAAACTCAGCATGGGATTGGCAAGACAAACTCACCCCATTATTATTGGATCAGGCATTGTCACTAGAAATAAATATCGAAATAGTGTCTCGTTTCATCTTTGCAAATCCAGGGCTCTATGTAAAGATGTACAGATGCCATTGGTTGCTTAATTTAAGACGGGGCTGCACAGATGGCACTACAACTGGAAACTACTCAATATTCTTGATGTCTGAGCCAGAACAAGTTTTGCTAATTTATTCCTGCAGAATTTAAGAGAAATGCAAAAGAACAACTCTTCATTCATATGAATAGATTCGGCGGCACCTGAGGAACTGTTCTGTTAAGCAAGAAAGCACCATTTTCAGTCAACCACTTTTCAGACAGATCACATTTTAAAAGTAGTATACTCACGGTTGTATCCAGCATACCTATTATGGAGCTTTAAGGAAAAGCTGTGTTCAAAAACCTCAGCCAGACTGTTTGCATCTGACTACTGAAAGATGTAGCATGTATTCTCACTTTACTCACAATGGCCTACATCAGGGTTGTCCAACCTTTTTGAATGTGGGGCTGGATCATGAACTTTTTATCAACTAGTGGGCCGGCGAGCCATATTCAAAGACCTCACATGAAGCGGTATCACATCACCCCCCTGAAACGAAAGTACAGTGTTTACTTTCGTTTCCCGTCGCAGCATCTCAGGTCTCAGAAAACAGCTTGGAGGGCCGCATGGCAGCCCGTGGACTGTATGTTGGACAAGCCTGGCCTAGATTCTATCCTAAACTGAATAAAGCTCCAACTCTCAGGTTTCTGGAACCACTTGAGTCTCTACTTAAGTTTAAGTAGAATTACCAACTTAGGCCTGTAAAATTGCTGTAACTGAGGAGCATGTATTGTCCAGCCTTTTAAACACCTTGTATGCCAGAAAGGAGGGGAGGTACAAGATATTTTTCACTCAGGACATTTCTACTGGAGATATACGTCTTAGCAGCTCAAATGAACTTAATACAGCTTGTAAATCTAACCCTTGTCTTCTCTTATGAGCAGATTGTTCAGAAGTAAACAAAGTTTAACCTAAGTCAAGGAATTAACCTTATTTGATCTCTGAGGTAGACATCTGTTAGGCTCTAAGCCCATTAAATCAGCTTGTTACAAAAGAAGAAAGATTTCAGGGTTTCTGAACTCATGCAGAACCTGGTCCCCTCTTTAACTGAACTTTTGCTATGAGTTTAATATTGGCACTATGTTTACCATGAGAATTTCAGTATTTATACAAAGTAAATATGAAATGTGTTCAGTTTCTTTAATCATGCTAGCATTAAAAATCTTGTTTCACGGTGTCACCTCACCTCTAGCTTGTTAATGTTGCCTTCTGCATATGAACTGAGTCAGCAAATATGGCACAATGAAATATTTTACAGCACATTTATGCTGTAATATATTTACAAGGTAATTTTGAATATTAGATGCTATAGCAAAAGACTAGCCAAGGCTTGAACCCAAGTTTTGAAACAACTTAATAGTTCCAATTTCCAGTCATCTTCATTCAGCAATATGAGCTTAAACGTGCTTCACTTCCAGCACAGTGAAGTAGTTTTTGTATTTTTATTATAAAAAGAAGTAACAGACAACTGGTTAGGGTGTAACAAAAAAATAGGTTAAACTATCTGTTGGCTGACCAGTTCAAATAAAGGAATGTTTTATAGGTAATGTCCAGCTCAAAATGCACAAACTGCTTCAAAGGGTTCTGAACGTTCCTAACGCACCCAAATCTGAAGAGCAAGATTTTGTACAGGACAAAAATAAATCTATATACTCACAACTTGCTTTTTGCAACAATCTGGTTTATTGCAACAGATGAACTTTACTCCATCTGCAATAATATTATGCTCGCTGGATGCTCCATCTACAATTGCTGTCTGGGGTTTGTCTTAGCAAAAGGGGTTCCGAGTTCCTGAGTATGTCTCACCAGTTATGGTAGCATTAATAAAAAGATTAATAGGCTAAAAAATACATGACACCTCTTGTCAGGGTAACAGTGGTAGCCTATATAACCAAGTATTTTGTAATATTCTTTATAATAAAATGCCTTTTTTGCTCCAATAGCAACACTGGCCCCTCCAACTAAGATGTTTGTCTGTTTTGTAAAGTAATTGATTCCATAACCCACCTATAACTGCTTTTTTTCCCCTATCACGTTTTCCTAAAGAGAGTGCTTATGCCTTCTGGGTGACCATGGCTTGTGAATAAAAAGAAAAAATGTCCACAAATAATAAGAGACCAAGCAAGAAGTTTCATGGCTACTGTAATATTGGACAATCCAACTTGTGACACAGCATTATTATACAACCTAAGTGAAGCTAGGTGCACACAATTTGATGTCTTGGATCTCCCACAACTATTAAAAGTCTTAAAAAATGGCATTAACAACAGTTTCCTTCTTGGTCCTATAGTAACCGAACTGAGCTGCATACATCTGTATCAAAATAAGTGCCTAAAATATATACTTAAACAATATCTATATAATTTTATGCGATCAACTGTTTTTAAACATGACAATAATGATGGGAATTTAAAACAAATATTTAATCATTTGTTGTTGATGCAGGAACTCAAAAAGATTCTGAAATAAAGTATTATAGATTTGGGCTGTCCAGCTTCTAATCCCCCGAGGGCCAAATGCTGTATGCGCCACAGGTGGCACTCTATGGATCCCCCCCAAAACACCACACCATATGGGTGCATGAGCATGAGCTCCCCTTGCTGCAACATGTACCTGCACAGGCACAACCCTCACTTCTGTACCATGTGGCATGACCATCAGCCACCCCTGTGAGGCCCTAATTTCTCCCCTCCTTCACATACATGGCCCCAGACTCACCATCAGCTCCCTCCACTAATGCACTACTCTGTTCCACCCCTAGGGCAAAGGGAAAAATGCAGCATCCAGAGAAGAGAATGGCAAGCCTGGAAACTCTGGCTGCTATTGCTGCCAGAACAATGGGGAGGAACGGCAAATAGATGAGAGTCCAGGGGCTATACATCAACCCCTTATGGCTGAATACAGCCTATGGGCTACCACTTGGGACAGCCCTATTTTAAATTAAGTCTGCACTTGATTTATGTGCTTTAACCAAAAATATGTAGACAAAAGCATTAGCAGCATTTTTTTACAGCTAAACAATTAGTTTAATTCAATATTGTCCATCTATTAAGCCTAAAAATGATACCTACCTATTCCAGTAGCTCCAGAATTGGTCCTGAAGGTATGACTGGTGGCTGCTTTCATCACCAAATGAAGCTTTACTTTCAATCCAGTGAATTATGTGGCCTTCAACAGCTAGGGCAACAAAATATTACTAACATAGTATAGATGCAAGTTCTGAAAATGAATTCAACATCTTTAAGACTTTTCTGAATACCCAGTTCACACAAGAAGCTACCCTATGACTTACACTTGAAACCTTATCATATATGTATAAAACCATGATTCAAACATATGAAACGAATATTTTTTCTAAATAAAATTAAGAACTGCATACACTATTTATCAATAATTATCTTCATTTAAGATTACATTGCCCTCACTTAGTCCTCTGAATGCACTTACTCCAATACAAATGGCCTTTTGGGGTGCATATTTTTTGCTGTTACCATAGGAAAGTTATGACACTTTTAAGATGCCTCTTCATGTCTTCCAGGAATCATTTCCAAATCTGTGAGAATATGACCAAGAAAAGTCATCTCCTGAATACAGAAGTTTTACTTCTAAGGTTGCAAAGGGATGCTCACTCAGATAACTTGACACAATTCCATGCAAGCTTTTGAAGATGTTTTCCATCTTTAGGATTTTCTGTTGCATCTACCATCTATTATTGCAACGTTTGGCTTAGCTGAAGATCAAAATGTTAAGTCTGGCATAGAGTGATATGTTAACGAAAACATGAGATTGTAGCTTATGTAGACTGATAGTAGCATAACCCTATGCAACACAGAGTTCAGCATGGATTATAAAACACTTGGATTATGGGTAAGCAGGTGACTAACCCACAGCAAACACTCGCCAGCAGCAATTACACTACTATCAATGGCCAGGCTAGCTAGTTTAAAAGCAACTTAAATAGGTCTACGTGAACTATAGATCACACCTTTTATCTGTAGTGCAAACCTATGATCAGAAGCTTGTGTAGCAGAGCCAAACAGCTGTTCTATTCTAAATCAGTTGTTGCTTTTCATAAACGTTTGCCTTTTCTTAACCAAGTGGCAAGCCTGGATGTCAAGAACACATGAGCTGCTAGAGCCAAGGCTAAATTTGGTAGGATTGCTAGACACAGATGAAACCAAAGGTATTTTACGTAGCTATCTGGATACCAGAAGCTGTTATGAGTCTAAGTAGAAACAAATTAATAGACTTGCCAAATTGACAAGTTATTAGAGGTGCTTCCCCCTCCCAGCGTACATCACTGCAATACTTTCAAGATTTTAACTCCAATCAGTTGTTCTTTCTGGCTTCATGTTATCTGGGTCCCTGGATAGCAGGAAGATGGTGCTGCTTGTATATGATGTAGAAGTGATTTATAGCTTGATACTATCTGCTCTACTGCTATATTTCCAGTCCATGGTGTCTCACAATCTTCCCTAACAACTTTAACAAGGTCTCACTGATGGGCATGGCCTCAATAGACTGAGGTAAATTCAGTATGATCTTGTCAAGTCTCTGAGGCTACCATGGTTGAATATATGAAATACTATGGATCAGTCCAGTTGTGTGAATATGGACTGCATGTGGCCACATATCATTATCATCAGCACCACCTCTGTTCCTGAAAACTTATGGGGAAAAGTCTAAATTTATTATTTAGGCAGAGCTGTAGGTGGCACTTTAAAGCTTCTCAAGGGTCTTTGATAAAAGGTTGGTTACATATTAGGTAATAACTTAAACTGAATTGAAGTTCAAGTTGTGTTGAATGACTTGTCTTAAGTTCTGACTGGGTAATAGCATGCTTCAGAATGTGCAGCAGAATTCTTGCAGGAAAGCGTGATGTTGATAATATTACCAGCAAGGGCCCCAAATATCAACACCACCAGAGGACTAAAGCCAGAATCACAGATAATTAGCTCTCAAAACAATGTTTCCAGGACTTTTTGATTTTGTCTGTAAAATATACTGAAAGATCTCTACACATAAGTGTGCTAGGATCTGAAGATAAATGGAAGAATTATGCACAGATGACAATGCGATTCAGCAGCTGTTACAGTAGAAGAAAAGAGATTCCTTGCTTCTTCAATGGCATGGCAGTCAAACTGAGAATTCTTTGTGGCTGCTTACCCGTTATTTACATGGTTTCCATTACCACTAGTACTGAAATGTCAGTGCTCAACTGCATCTGGCAATTTCTACCATGGACACTAAGGCTACTTACAGATGTGGAACCCCCTCCCCCCAACTAGCACTTGGCTTTCAGCTTGGCACACCCCTGCACCAAATGCAGCGTGTGCCCCGAATAGACATCATGCCAGTTTGACCCAGCTCCCCAGCATCTGTATAGCTTGTGCACTTTAGCAGATGTTTTTGGAGCTTTTATCAAATAGCTGATTTGGTATACAGACACCGGGCGAGCCGGGTCAAACTGCTGCGATGCTTATTCCAGTAAAGCGCTATGTTCCCCCGCCCCAGTCTGTCAGCACCCTAAGTTCTTTTTCTTACTGCTGTTTCTTTCATTGGCACTTAATGACCCATGAAGAAAACTGGGGGAGATGAGGAAGATGTGGAGGAGGATTCTAGAATGAGGCCACGGAGTGGATCTTCTATACCACCAACTTCTGTTGTGGACGCATTATCTATAACAGTGTTTTGAAACTTGACTGAATCTACCAGTTTCTGTAGGCAGACTATAAAGCATATTTCTGAAACAAACATGGAGGAGATGATGACCAGGACTGTGGTTTTATGTTAAAAAACTACCTACCCCTGCCCAAGCCAAGCACACTAACAACTTCTTACAACTTGAGTCACTACTACATATTATGTTTTATAATATATAACATGAGAAACTAGACTGTATCATTAAGTAACTTCAACATTTTTATATAAACGCATCCCCATAAACATGAAATAATAACATTAAGACACCTTTCAGGGACTTACCTACTGGCACTTCCAAAATAAAGTCTGGTGTTTTGTCATAACCCTTTGCACGAAGCTGATCTTCAGCTACACATAGAGAAAGAATACTATTGTTTATAACACTATTCTATTAACCAGACAGCAGTATAATTAATTTTCTTTTAAATAAGAGTGCAAGAATTACTAATGCAGTCATACATATCTTTCTTATGCATGCAATGCTGTGTCAGATTAAATGAACCTTCATAGCAAACCTGAAGCATGGATATAAAAATGCTTCTTTGTCATCTCTGCATTTTTATGTCTTCATTATAAACATCATTAATTCAAGCTGTCATACACTATTTTATAACTGAAAAATATTCAAAATAAAGAAATACATTTGCTGATTGAAAGAAGAATCTCCTCACATTAGAATAAACCTTAACAGCTTTTTTCTATTGCTGGAAACATAGATATTCTATAGTTGCTTTCTTATTTTATATTAATGTGTGCCTAAAGTTATTATAAAATATCTTCCAGTTGAAAAGCTATTAAAGAAGGAGACAAGTCACAGACTTTAATTTCTCTTGCATGTTGCATAATGTAGAATTTGCCAAGTTTCACAATTCAGTACATAAATTTAAAAATAGATTGTCTTCAGGTTTTAAGTGCAAGTATAATGCTTTATCCTGTGTAGATATCAAAGCTCTTTAAGCAGTACCCAAAGATTTCCAATACTATGTCTGAGAGCAAAAAAGACAAAATTGTGGAAAAAAAATCAACAAAAATGCTTGACTAAAGCAAAGCCTTCAGTATTTTCTATGTGTTGTCCTTGAGTTCCAATGCCATTACATTGGTATTTCTAAAACACCTCTTCTCCATTATATTTTGGAGTGACCAGGTCATTCAATTCCAAACATGACTTTCTGTCTTCACCCAACCTCAACTAATGACACAACCAAGTAACAAGAAGGAGCTGTGGTCTCTTAACATCTACTGGGCTGTTGACATTGTTATGCATCCCTTTTCCCTTTCTGCATCACCTTTGATTAAAATTAATGGTCCATTCCCACTGTTGGGTAGCTTATTTCCAATCCATTTATCAGCCTAGGACAGTGGTTTCATGGCCAATGTTCAGAACTCTGTTTTAGAACACTTTGTGCATATCCTGAAAGGTCAGCATTTTGAGTTTAAATAGCATTTTAATGACAAGTAAAACATTTAGATTTTAAGGGGGTTTTTATAGTTTATATATATTAAATAAATTAAATGCTTAATTCAGAAGAATCAACTTGTTTCCACACGCACAAAAAATAAGTCTGAGATAAATTTTTCAGATGCTGATCTAGCACTTACAGTAAAACTTCATTAATTTGCTTTAATAACTATGGAATGTTGCATATTAGTGCAAAAGTGAATATTCAACAGAAAAAAAAGAGAGGCAAGTTTTTGTCATTTATCCTGTTTACAACTGCAGTTTATTTTTAATTGTTTAGAATATTACTTCATAATGTCCCAGTATATTTTAAACTGCAGTATATTTTAAACATTAGTCTTCGTAGTAATGGAACCTCTCCATAGCACTATGTCAGTTATTAAACCCTGTTAAGAGTTGGAGAGTAGTAAGTTTTTTAACCCATATTATAAAAGATATGGGTGAAAAGTGTGCAGATTAAGATGGCACTATTTTATTGTGATTCCTTAAAATACCATTTTGACCCATAACATAAAAACACTGAAGATAAATTAATATTGTGAACATTTTCTTCAGCCTAACAGTTATGAAGGCAGGCAGGCCTGAGGATGTAGAAAAGGAAATGCTCTCATAACCACCCCCTCAGGTTTGTAGAGCTAAAAGCTACTGGTAGCCATTTGAAATCCTCAATAGCAATCCTGAATAGTTTGGGTAGTGGGTATTCATTGGTTAAGGGCTTTTAATAAAATTGTGGCCACCGCATTTAATCACGCATGCATTCTCATTCTTACTAAGAAAAATCAAAATCAGACGCTTAAACAAAAAACAACTTTGCTTCTGTGCCCCCTGTTTCAGGTTGCAGTCCCAGAAGGGAAGGATGCATCAAGGAAGTGAACTGGCAATCCTGATGCTGGTGCCACCGAGAAGCTTCTGATTCCTTGACCATGGCATGCACTTCAGCGAAAGAGAACTCCTGGGAAGGAGTTCCACCTTACGAGGAAAGGTAAGTCCCTGTTTGTGGCCAGGCTGGCCAATTTTCTGGACAGGGCTTTCAACTAAGATTGTTGGGGGACAGGGATACACAAATTTAAATACGTTCAGGGACCAACATACAAGTATCCCTGTAGATAGGGACACTGGGAGAGCCAATTTTGTGGGATTGGAGGGAACAGTTCTCCATCATTGGAACAGAAAGATGAGGGCCTCAGTAGGAGGACTCAGCTGCCTATATACTAACACCAGGAGCATGGGAAACAAGCAGGAGGAGCTAGCCCTCCTACCCTTCAGTGTGCATTATGATCTGGTAGGGATTACGGAGACCTGGTGGAAAAGAGCATTGCTCTCTATGTGAAAGAGCAGTACACCTCCTCGGAGGCCGACATCAGCTCCAAAAATGGACAACTTGAAACCCTCTGGGTCAAATTGTGGGGAGGAGAGGGAGCAAGAGAGACCCAACTGTAGGTGTATACTACAGCCCACCAAACCAGGGGGAGGAACTCGATGTGGAGTTCACCTCAGAATTGACTGAGGCTGTCATGGGCGATTTTAATTATCCAGACATCTCCTGGGAGGAACACTTGGCCAAGTTGGATCGGTCGCGATCCTTCCTGACTTGTGTCGAGGAGCTCTTCCTGACTCAGGAGGTGCATGGGCCAACCAGAGACTTGGTCCTTACCAAAGGGGATGACCTGGTGACTGACTTAAATATAGAGGGAAGTCTGGACGACAGCAACCATGAAGCCATCATGATCGCTGTCTGGGGTAAGAAAGACAAATCGGATAGCAGGATTGAAGTCTTGGACTTCAAAAATGCAAATTTCAACAAGCTTAGGTCATTAGTAGGGCAAGTGCTGTGGTACTAGGGATTGAAGACGAAAGGTATGCATGAAGAGTTGTTGTTCCTTAAGGACACAATACTTGAAGTACAAAGGAAGTCCATTTCAATGAGGAGTAAAGGTAACAGAAGGGCTGGGAAGCCCTCTTGGCTAAACAGGGAAATCATGGTCCTCTTAAGAAAGAAGAAAGAGGCCCACATTTGCAGGGAACAGATAAGACAGGCTAAAGCAGCGACTGAACTTAGATTAGCAATGGGGATCAAGGACAACAAGAAGTCCTTCTTTACGTACATTGGGAACAGGAGGAAAACAAATGGGAGCGTGGGACCTTTGCTCAACAACTCAGTAGAGCTGGTTAGAAGCATCCAGGAGAAAGCTGAACTCTTGAATGGCTACTTGGTCTCAGTCTTTCACTGGACCAAGGGGAAAACCATGTCAGGTAGAGTTGAGGATGAGCATGGTAGGAATAATCACCTTCCTACTATTGTTGCAGAATTGGTGTATGACCAATTAATAAAATTACCTTTGCTCAACAACTCAGTAGAGCTGGTTAGAAGCATCCAGGAGAAAGCTGAACTCTTGAATGGCTACTTGGTCTCAGTCTTTCACTGGACCAAGGGGAAAACCATGTCAGGTAGAGTTGAGGATGAGCATGGTAGGAATAATCACCTTCCTACTATTGTTGCAGAATTGGTGTATGACCAATTAATAAAATTAGACATACACAAGTCAGCGGGACTGGATGATCTTCATCCGAGAGTGCTGAAGGAGCTGGCCAAAGTCATTACGGAACCCCTAGCAAAACTCTTCCACAACTCGTGGCACTCTGGAGAAGTCCCTGAGGACTGGAATAGGATCAGTGTTGTGCCCATCCACAAGAAGGGCAGGAGGGAGGACCTGGTAACTATAGGTCAATCAGCCTAACTTCCATCGTAGGAAAAATCCTAGAAAAGTTCATCAAGGAGCTTAAGCTTGCGATAAGCTTGCAGAAGATAAGATTCTGAACGACAGCCAGCGTGGATTTATCACAGGCAGGTCTTGCTTTACCAACTTCATCTCTTTCTATGACCAGGTAACTCACCACCTGGACATGAGAGAGTAGGTTGACACTGTATACCTAGACTTTCAAAAGGCCTTTGATCTAGTATCTTACGATGTCTTCGCGAGAAAACTGGATGATTTTGGACTTAACTCCGAGATAATCGGGTGGGTGAGAAACCAGCTGCAGGATACAACCCGGAGAGTCATAGTGAACAGATCTGTGTCATCCTGGAAAGAAGTGGGCAGCAGATGCCCTGGTGAGAAGTGGATGGGCAGGGGTCGATGCTCGGTCCAGTACTTTTCAACATCTTTATTAATGGTTTGGTTGTGGGGTGGCAAAGTTCATGGATGACACCAAGTTATGGGGAAGCATGGTCATGCTTGAAGATAGGTTATGGTTACAGGTGGACCTAGACAGGCCGGGAAGTTGGGTGGATCAGAATCTGATGAAGTTCAATGTCGAGAAATGTAAAGTGCTCCACCTCAGGATGAGCAACTCCCCAACACACCTACAGGCTTGGTGGCACCAAACTGACAAGCACCATGAATGAAAGGGGTCTGGGGGTAATAATAGACCACAGTATGAATATGAGCTGGCAGTACGATGCTACAGCCAGCAGAGCAAATAATACTCTTGCATGCATCAATCGATGCATCTCCAGCAAAACCAAGGAGGTTATTCTTCTTCTCTACTCAGCACTGGTGAGACCGCAGCTGGAGTACTGCGTCTAGTTCTGGGCACCACACTTTAACAAGGATGTAGACAAGCTTGAGAAAGTCCAAATAAGAGCCACCCATATGATCAGAGTCTTGAAAGACAAGCCATGTGAGGAAAGGCTGAGGGATCTGGGACTCTTCAGCGTGAGGAAAAGAAGGCTGAGGGGGGACCTGGTAGCAGCTTACCACTACACTAGGGGAATACATCAAGGGCTTGGTGAGCAATTGTTCACCAGGGCACCTGAGGGGAAAACCAGTAGTAATGGCCACAAACTCCTGGAAGATCAATTCAGGCTCAACATTAGCAAAAACTTCTT